ACTGTATATATAAAGTAGTGCACTGTACACGGGGTGATCCATCTGATTTAATAGACACTGATTTTCTCGGATACAGTATGAATAATATTTTGAAAATTATCTGTATTTTTCCTTGTACTTTCTACATTTGTATGCCTTATGCGTGAAAAAAAAATGTTGGACTTTGCCGTTTTCAATAGGCAACACATGTTTTTAATTACATAAATATATAGAAAAAAACGTCAATCCGTTCGTTTGCTGTGACTTGCTGTAAAGATATGTGAATTTAAGATCAATATTGACCCCCGTCGATACATACACAGCGGTCACCGTCATTGTGTTTGAATAGGTGGATAACGACCGCTTGTCTACACTATTACCTCAAAACATTTTATTGGCTACTGGTTTTCACGAAACCGAAGACATTCGACAATATTAGAAGGCAAAAATGTAATATCTAAGTCATAGCAACTGAACAGATTGATGTAAATTGTTTTTTTTAATAAGTATGTTCTGTTCGCTTTACGGACGGATCTATTACTACAAACATTTACGACAAAAATTCCTATTAATGATTTATAATACATCAGTATAAACGTTTGTTTAATAGGCTTAATCAAATATTGTATCGGTAAAGTAGTTTTGGTTTACATCACTATTGCACACAATCGCGTTAACGATTTATTAATATTATTCGTGTGAAAAGAGTTAAGCAATGAAAAGGGTCAAATTCAATTCATTTTATGGAATTTTTGTGAAACCCAAGACGTATGACAATAATTATAAGGGCAACTGTGATACCCTTAAAAAGTCATAGCCAACGGACGGACTGGTGTAAATTTAAAAAAATGTCCCCATTTGAAAAAAACCAAGTCTAAACTTCTTTTACGTACCCCATAAGGTATGAAGATGAAAATGTTCAAAGCATTAAAAATAATAATGTTTATTGTTTAAAAAATTATGTAAGAAAACTACAGCTGTCCTACACCGGACAGATATATATATACAGGATGTAAATGTTATAGTACTCGTTTAACTGTTTTTTTTTTTTTCCAAAAAACCATTTTTGTCCGGCCACAAATTATGGTACGCAGACCGGCAACACACTATAATATAACGTTATTAAAACGGAGCTTGCGGACGCATATATAAAATATGCATAATATCATATTGCATCGGCCATATCGTCTTAATGTTATGTTATTATTAATATTATATGTAGTAAACATGTGTGTGCGCGAAACCGTCTCTGCGACAAGTGCAACACGGCGGTGTCCATATTTAGAGTGGCGAACTTAAGCTGAGGGGAAAAAGAAAAAAAATAGGAGAAAATCTCGGTACTCTCTCGGGTCGAGGAGGCAAGAGGGTAAGGCGCAGTCAAGAGGGGAGAGTTGTGTTGTATTTATAAAACTAGCGTCGGTCAGAGTGATTTATATTTTGCGTTGACATCTCGCAGAAGAGGAGGAGAACACCGTCGAAGGCTCGTTTAAAAATAGAATAGGTATTTGCGCTGAGAAACGGGAGAAGAGAACAATTTTTTTTTTGTGTCGTGTCGGACTAAAAATTCGAAAAGAGGGAGGGGGGGACTGTGTAATAAAAAAATTTAAAAAAATAATAATAATATTACAATATATATATATATAATACGTGTGCCCTGTCCTACACGACCGACCTAAGTGATCGTTTTTTTTTTAAGTTTGCGTTTGCTCGACACAAAAGCCTCTGCGGGTCACGGTATTTATTTTTAATCCTACACACGATATGCTTAATAATGATATTATGCTATATTGCAGCGTGCGACGGGCAAAACGAAAAATAGGAGAGCGGAATGCTTAGGTTTTTTTTTTTTTTTGTCAAATGTACAACGTTATATTTTAATGATTAGCCAACTGCACAGAAAACTGCACTGCAAGGGGCGTCCTCGTTTGATTAGATTTTGAAAATTTGCCATTCACTTTAAATAGCAGTTCAAACCGAAATGTCAACCCGATTAGAAGAAAAAACATTCTTTATAAAATATCTAAAAATTGTACTTTGTTAGCACTAGATCATATAGTGGTATCTATATGCCCCTCCCTCCCTACTCTAACAAATAGTTAAACACTAAAAAAAAACAATATTAACTTAGCTTTCAACGAATATTTGGGTTGAGGCGTGTTTTGGACGTGTTTAATATAGGTAAAAAACTATTAATGAAAAAAAAAAAAATGTTTATATTTTTATTCACCGCTGTTTGACGACGGTATATTGATTGAAAATGTAAATCAAATAAAAAGTGCATTCAAACATTTTTTAATCTTCTTTTTCGTGACCATTTTTTTTTTTTTGGTTATTAGACAAAATGATTTCCAACAGTACAATTAAATCCATTTAATTAGTACCCAAATCTTTAAAATTTGAATTTATTACCTCTCAAAGAAATTATACTATTATAAATTATAATTTATTCCTTTGTTAAAGTTGTATTATTTGTTTTTTCAATTAAATAATTGAACGTTAAAATTCAATTAATTGATACTTTTTGTTTCATTATATGGATATAATTGTATCAATTATATACACATTTAATGGTGGATTTTTAGACTTTTACATAGAATTATATTTATTGGCTTTATTGGTCGAAAAAATATTATTTTGAAAATTTGAGAATATTTTGGTAATTAACAGGATGCCACAACGTCCATTTCTAATGAATAAAGTAAAGGTAATTGTTCGCAAAATCTTAATTTAAAGCCTGAAAAATTAGTGCATGCTTATTAAATACTGTAATGAGGATTTTTTTTTTGTTGTCAGCCTATCACAGTTATTTCTATAGGATAAAGTAAAATTGTTTTTCCGTCAAAAGTGCTTTGATGCGATTAACCAACTCAAGAAGAAAAGAAGAAAACTTTAACCGTGTCGTAGCGTTTTCATTTATTTTTTTATATTAAAACTCACTAACTTTTAATAAACAAATGAAAAAAAAACAATCTTTACAAACGAATAACTTGAGCTGTGTTTAAATTATGAAAAAAAAAATAATAATAAAAAGGCTAAAACTTCTTCTTTGTGTACAGTAAAAACTTTGTAACTACCACTAGTACAACCCAAAAGAACCACAATGAGTTAAACGGCCAAAATACAAGTGGCGTGACGTCCTCTTGAACATTAGTTTCAGGTTTGAGTATATATTTTTTTTAAGCATTTTTTACCTGTTTTTAATGGAATATCATGTGAATGTTTTAAAATTTTATCATTGCATATTAGCATTGTATTTTGAACTATTTAAAACCTGAGAACCCGCTCTCCAATCACAATACAGTAGCGAAGATGGTCGACGGTTCGTGTATGCTGTTCTCCGTCTTGTAAAGTTAGAGAACTGCTTAAAACATTTTAAATAATCTGGAAACGGGAATATTGGTCTCAATTTGCAGGGATATACTCGAGTGATTCGATTTGACCAAAAAGAAACTTTAAAAAGCAATAATATATCATAATATAACTGCTCAATGAAGTAAATTGAAGAGCTGCGGAATATTTGATGATTTAAATGTGATGAAATATCCAAAAAGGAGGGAGAAAAGAAAGTTGGCATTTGGTGAATCACAAAAGAGCGCAGTACAACCAAATCATAAGCACAAAAGAGTGAGATGTATGTGTCGTTGGAAGACCAACGACCAAAGTATTGATTGAAGAAACGATAAGACAAGCTGACTGTAACCGGTACGTCGATATGACAAGACAGGTTGTAAGCCTTTAGTGGTAGAAGATAGAGAAAAGGGGTGGGGGATCAATAGGGGTGGCATCAAAACTTTACCTAAGGAGTCAAAACTTTAAAATACAATTATGTCTGTGAAATGACTTCAATTTTTTCTTTTTCTTCGATTTGGCGTTTACCGCGTTTTTCTTATTGGGAGGGCAGCATTTTCCTAGATGGGTAACCCGATAACGATTATTATTTCTCATCACAGACAACCGGACAATAGCCGCGGTATCGGTTTCTTGCGTTCCGCCGGTACAACTTATACAAGCCTTGTAAGACAATACCATAACCACCTAACTTCTAGTCGGCCACACCGTAAAATCTCCCAACGTATCGAGTTACTTATAATAATAATAATAGGAATAATAAAAACCAATATGTTTTCCCAAACACAACGTCGTTGGACATACCATTTTTTTGTGTAGATGCACTATGTGTATTATATTATATTATTATGTGACGTATTGAGTCACGTAACGTTATTTATAGTCAGAGTTGTGCAAATGATTATTCGAACAAAACGGAATTCGAATAACTATTTGACAATTTATTCGAATATTTATTTGACAATATTTGAATGAAAACGTTATTCGAATAGTTTGAGTTATTTGTCTATAATTTATTCGAATAATTATTTGACAATTATTTGAATGAAAAATTATTCGAATAATTTGTCCACAATTTATTTGAACAAAACGTTATTCGAATAATTGTCAAATAATTATTCGAGTAGTTTGTTTACAATTTATTCGAACAAATAATTGTCTATATATATACACTGGTTTTATATGTTTTCTAAATATAGTATCTATTAGATTTCTGTGAAATAATCGTTTAAAATATAATCACTAGGAAAAAGCGCTTAAAAACTGTTGGAATAATTTTTTATAAAAGCTCTTTTACTCGAACAACATGTCGTCTAGATGATTGTTTGGATAACGTTTGATTCGAACCATGCACAACTGTGCTTATAATAACAAAAAAACAACGTGTCTTCCCAAATACCAAGTCGTTTGGCATGTATACATTTTGTGTGTTATAATATTATATTACATATTGTGATTATGTTTAAATTTTGGACGGCCGCCACGGTCAATAGCTAATCGTAGTAACTGATCGCACGCAAACAACTCCGCGGGGGTTTCGGCTCGTCGGTAACAAAAAAATTGATATACATTTTTTAACAAATCCAAAAAAATTGATGCTCCTTTTATCTAAAAAAAAGATGGCCCTCCCCCCCCCCCCAAAAAAAATGAAAATAATTTTTTTCGAAAATTACCTTTGTAAGTGTTGTTGGACAGAACGGCTTCGTTGGCGTCGGACACCGTCAACAGCAGCAGCCTCGACCACGCGACGGCCAACACGACCGTCATCAACGGCCAACGGCCAACGGTCGCCGCCCAAGGCGGACGTCCACGGCGGCCGGCCGTCCGTCCGGACGTCATGACCATGTTGTCTTCGTCGGTGTCTTCGTCGGCCATGCGTGTGCGTACGTTACACGCCAACGCGGACGTGTAGCTGACGACGGCCGTCCACCGCTCGGCCACCGCGGCCACCGGGTCGCTCAGCTGGAGGAGGAGTGGCCGTGTCGGTCATCATCGTAGTGGACGTAGTGGCCGCCGAACTCCGGATACGGGATCTGTCGAGATGATAATATATACTTATGTGTATGGAAAGAGGGTGGCCATACGATTTATGGCCCGTCGTTTATATTAATTCCGGCCCACTCGGATGGGGTAGTTCACATAGTTTCACCGGACCCGCTGGAGTGATAAAAAGACCGCAAGGACAGATATACGGCGTGATAACCGTGTGGGGCGCGCGCGTTGGAAACGGCGGAAAATAAATAGATAAAAAAAAAAAACCGGGAGGCCAACAACACACCGTGTGCACCGCGATAGTCTGAACACAGTCTGTGACCGACTGACGAACGTGCGTGCAGTTTAGCCGCCGCCTAGGAGAACGCCTGGCACATTGTTAGCGCTCCCTGCCGGTTGCCTCCGCACGCACCGTCGCCGCGTCGGCCTTGCCGAATTCGCGGAAATCCCGGGGTTGCTCGGCGCGGCCACTGCAGCCCCGGCGGGCCGGCGCAATTCCAGGCACCGCCGTACGGTTTTGGCACCAAACTCAACACCGCCCTTCCCGCCGCCATCATCCCCCGTCGTGCCCGGGGGTACGGGGTAAGCCCGAACCGAACGGAACGGAATCGACGGACTACGAAGACACGGCAACGACAACGCGTCAGAGCGAAATTAAACATGTTATCCTTCTCTGCGACACGACGCCTAATCATTATTATTATGTGTATAGGTAGTGCTTGAAATGTTCATGAAATATACAATTTTGAAAAGTTTCAATTTTAATTTTAATTGTTTCGTCTTGTAAAATGATTAAATAAAACAAATTAAAATATATTTAACTGACGTGTGTACATTTATTCCCTCATATTCAATGTATACTATTTTGTATTACCGTATACAAAATATTTGTTTGGGAATATTTAAAATATTTCTTTTGTTGTAATTTGTTTTCATTACAACCAGTCAAAATTTTAAATAAAATATAATATATACGTTTACGGTGTATTATGTTGATAATCCGATCATGGTTTTCTTGTTCACTATAATGTTTATTTAAAAAAAATAATAATATAAAAACCAAATATATATTCAAAAAAGAAACACTTAGGTATATTATTAATGTTATGAAGATCATAGTTTTCTTCCTAATGAATGGCGGTAATGTTTAATACATTATAAATACAATATTATAATAATGATAACAAAAAAAAAAATCCCACATCTTGGTAAAACTAATAGCATGTCTGGTCCGCATCGAAGCTAAAACAAGAGAAAATTAATGAAACAAATTTATTCGATAATTAAGTAGCTATTTTTATTTTCACTAAGTTCATAAGCTCATTAATTTCTACTTATTCAGTTATGAATTTGGGCACTGTGTTTACCCATTGTACATTTTAATATTAAGAAAAACAACAACAAAGTGTACTTATAATACACTTGAATCTTAATTGACCGTAAAAGTTAATCCACTCAAATATTTCAGACTTCAAATACTAATTATGCGCCTTAAGAAAACAAGTTTTTTTTTTCAAATTAAGTTCTAATAAAGTATTATTTTTAAACCATGTCGCTAATAGCGCTCAAAGTATTGGTGGATTTATTAATAATGTTGTTTTTGTTTATACCATGCAAATAATTGTGGTGTCATCGGCAAAGCAATATAATATTGATCCTTTACAGTTTAATCGTTAATAAATACAACAAATAAAAGGTCACCCAATACGGTAGCCTGTCGTATCCCATGATTAGAAATGAGAACAGCACTAGTAATACCAGTTTAAACCAAAACACAGTGCAAACCGAGCACAGACAGTTGGCAAAGTTGGGACAAAAGAATAATTAAATCTGAATGTGAACCAAACGGCAGCAAGTCATTATTAGTTTAATAAGTTAACAAGCTATGGCCGTCGTTGGTCCCATCTCACTGTGCTAGATTTTTACCTACTGCTTACAGATTCGCATTCAGATTTAATAATAATTGCTTTGACCCAACTTGGGCAACTATTGTTCTGTACTGTACTTGACTCGGTTAGGGCTGTGCAGGTTTATTATTATTGTTTAGTTTTCCTGTTTTGAGGGCGATTGAGTCGACAGACTAACCCAAACTTATCTAGATGCAAAAAATGTTTTAAAAAAAAAAACAGCTAAAGCAATAATAATATCGTTATCGCACGTTAACGACAGTTTTCTCGAATATATTTCGAAAACAATCTAAGAATAGATTTATCGAATACCGTTGGTTTTGAGTTTCTGTTGGAGGTAATTAGTAAAATACAGCGATGAGTGACGACCACCATTTGTGGTTTATTAGTCACGCCAATAATGATGAGTAGTAGTCTATTTTCATATTGATGTTTTTTTTCTTTTTAATTTGTATTATTATTATCTGTTATTTTCAGTACCAACGAGGTAAACCTAATGATATTCAAAGTTACACTAATCGTTTTTATTTTTGCAATTCTGTCTCCTGTACAAACAAGAGAAATTTGAAATTTCCAAATCAATTTGAAGGAAAAAAAACATAGATTAAAAATCGAATATCGATTTACCATTATGTTATATTTTTTTAAGCCAAAGATGGAAAAAAATTGTATTTGACGTCGAAGAAAATATTTCCAGCAAAGACCCACTAGACTTTTTTTTAATATTTTTTATATATTATAATATGATAATACTCGGAAGTTTCCAAAGACGCGGTTTTAATGGATTCCACATAATTCGGTATTAACTTTAAACGGATTTCCATAATTGTGTATACGGCGAGAATATTATTCTGAGAACTTTCTCGTGTAATTTGTGTTTTAAGTTCATTTCGAAATCTGTCAACCGCCTAATGGCAAACATAACCGTATTATAAGAATGCGATTATCGTCGCGCTGCTCTTATTTTTAACACATAATTATATTTTACTTTTAGCCTCGAGCACACATAAGCGGGCGGCCACGACGACGATTTGTCACGGGGAAAATCGTATTATTATATTTTTGATGCTCGAGAGCTTCATAGGCCTTTAACAAAAAAAAAAACCACGACAAAAACATGTTTTTACACTTTTGACGGCTATGCTCGAATAGCGGTTAGGAAGAGTTTAGAAAAAAAAAAATGATTTTCTACGGATTTTTAGCTCCTGTTGTCTAATTTGTTACCCTTAAGAAATCCGTGGCTGTGTTGAGCGCTGAAAATAAGGCTGAAGAAGGTAGACCTAATACCTTTATCGATAACCAAATAATGTCAACATTTATTATTGAAAAAAAAACCCTAAAAAGTGACTGGACCACTACAAATAGTCTGCATTTTAAAGGCCACTTTGGGCATACAAACTTAACCCTTCACAGCAACTAAGTGAATATAATGCATCAGGTTATTTATATTGATATAGCTTATTGATTATTGACTGAAACGTTTTTTATCAATAGTGCAGTAAACAGGCATATATTATCATAATATTAATCATTCCTAATTTTTTCATACAAAACAAAAGAGTGCACGCAGTGAAGGGTTTGAATTTATTACAAGCACAGTTAGAATTCACCAAAAACCGGTTGTTTTCTCGAAATTCATGCTTCGAAATGGCAATATTTTATTACTGCCTTCAAGTAACGCACTTGTCTAGAAGAACCGAACAATAAATTATACTAGTTCTAAATAATTTAGCCCGCAGGTCCTATAATAATGATAGGTTCCCGTCTCTAACCAAGTGGCCCGTTTATAAGCCGACAAAACAAGAGGTTAGTAAAATATGTGTAAAAAAAATATTAACCTTAAACCGCTACCATAAGGATAGATTTATCCAGAATTCTGTAAGTTTTCACCCAACTTTGCCAACAACTCTTCGCTCATACTGTCTGTAATGTTTTTTTTTATTATTAAATTACTTTCACAACAATTTATCGCCACAGTTTTAAAATATTAACTCCAACAGCTCTAATACTATTTATAGTGTATAAATATTACAATTTTCTTCTCATAACCGCAATAATAACGTTATTAGATTTGAAAAACTATAAATATTTCCGAACGTGATATCTCCTATGTAAAATGCATTAGTTCTAGAAATAGGTAAAACTGGACGTTAGCCAATTTGGTTTATTTTACCACACACACTCACGTGCCACGTGTTTGAGTTAAGTTTGCAGAATCTCATAATTTAACATGATGCAATATAAATATTATATTTACTTACCTACCTAAGTAATCATTGCAAGACGTGTAAAATTATATTTCTACAAAATTGAACACAGTTCGCAAAGTGCGTACAGCTATGTCATATTTAAAGCAAAGTAAACCTGTCGGTTGTTTTTTCAATTATGGATATTTTTTTTTTTTTTTAAGGATTAATTATTTTTCATACTGTGAATTTTCATTCACTCAACCCTTCATGAAAATGCGCAATCATGCCGATAGGGGTACTTCGGGGGCGGTTTGGTAGTGTCAATGGTTAATTAATTTCTGAACACTAAAGGTTGAAATTCGATTAAAGCATTAAAATATATAATAATAACTAAAACGTCCACCTCAAAAATCGCCGTATCGGCACATAGCCGCCGCGGGTAATGAAATATTAATAAATATTCCATCGACGGTGAATCGTTATTATTATTATTTTTTTTTAAATGAAGTTTCAAAAGATGAACAAATAAAAAATAAAATATTATATTATGCACAACTTTTTGTGTCGCGATAAAATAACTTTATCTAAAAAAATACAGCTGTACAATAAAAATAAATACAATACAAGGTGATTCGTTAAGTTCAATAAAGACACTCATTTTCTCTTGAGCCAACATTACTGTTTTGTTGTTTTTTTCTTTTTTGGAGACACTTTAGTTTAATATTAAATTTTTTAACCTTTTTATTTTCTTCTAGAGTTCTATCAAATGTTAAACCTTGAATGGGTCCATATATAGTAATTAATTCATTTTTTAATTAAGAAATATTTGCTCAAGAATTTCGACTGGCTGACAACCAATTTTGGATAGTTACGTTAAAATTGATTCTGAACACGAGCAAAATTTTCAACATACTTTTTTCGATTTAAGTTAATCAAAATATAAACGTGTTACCAATCAGTAAAAAAAAAAAAAGGTAAATATATTTAGTAATTTTCAGACATTGTAAAAAAAAAAACAAAAAAGGTTTCGAAATAACTATAAAAAATCGCAATAATTAATTTAATAAAAAATAAGTGTTTTATCCTTAGCGAATAACCCTGTATAGTCTATTGGCAGTAAAACAAAATTAATTAGCAAAACGACCGTTAGTTAGTGTTAGAAGTTATCTAAAGAGTCGTAAAATATTTTTTATAGCCTACATAAAAAACTGTATACAATTTTTTAAGGCGATATTCTAATTT